CGTGTGATTCCCAGGGTAGGTGACATCCAGCCTGCTATTCCGATGGTGGCGAGTACCCATGGTGGCGGCCAGGAAGCGATGGACCCAGAGGACAGGGATGGGGAAATGCCTCCCTCTGCTCCCCAGGCAAAAAGAAAATATGGCCTGGTGGGGCGTAAGCACAAGCCTTCTATGAAGCCCTCGAAAGCTAGGACGTCTGGTCGTAAACGCAAACCGACAAAAAGCTCAAAAGAGGAGGCGCCCAAATCCGGATCGAGCCGAGGGGGGAGGCCGGCTGCCGCTGCGGTAGTGGATTTGGAATTGTCCGGTGTGGCGGATGCTCATTGCTTACAATCCTCCCGTGAGACTTTTGGCCAGCCGGAGGTTGATGAAGCCATTTCGGAGGGGGAGACCCACTCATTTGAGCTTAGACGCCGTTCCCCTGTGCTCAAAGGCAGGCTGCGGCGATTAGCCAACTCGTCAAAGGTGAGTCAGGTGGTGAGTGCTTTTGAGAAGGGTATGGCGTTGGGAGATGTTGTGGATGCCATGGGGCCTGGGAAAGTGCAGGATCAAGAGGGCGTGGCTGAGCAGGTGCCTCGGGTGGACATTGCTCGCAATGTTTCCTTGGAGGAATATGGAACCAATTTGCTAGAGCCTGAATCGGGAGCAAATAAGCGTCAGTTTGAGGAGATTGGTGGGGAGGTGGAGGATAATCCAACCCCAAAGAGGCAGTTCATTGAGGAAAAAGAAAATCTTGATAAGGTGGAGGAAGCCAGCCTCGAGTGGCCCCAGCCAGTTAAATGAGGCTTTTGGCCTGGAATGTGGGAGGAATTGGACCATCCCTCACATTCCAAACTGCTTTTGGTTTAGTGCACTCTAATAAACCAGATCTCGTGTTTTTTTCTGAAACGCGTTCGAAACGGAAGGTAGTTGCCCGGCGGTTGCGGGGTTTAGGTTTTCTTCATCCTTGTTGTTTCTTTGTTGATGCGATTGATGCATCAGGTGGTTTGGTTGTTGGTTGGTCCCCCGAAGTTGATGCTTCGGTGTTTTTTCATTCGGATTTTTTGTATTTTTGTTCAAATTAATGAAATGAACGTTTCGTATGTGGTGATTTTTGTCTATATTAGTTGTCATGCTGATATTAGAGACACCCAACTTAATCATTTGCGTGAAATTTGTGGTGGTATCTCTATTCCCTATACTATCATAGGTGATTTTAATACTACGCTTCAGGCGTGTGAGAAAGATGGGGGTAATCAATGGAATGCCAGTCACTCTGTTAGTCTCCGGGATTTTATCCTTGATATGGGCCTAATTGATCCAGGGTACCAGGGGGATCCGTTTACCTGGACGAACAAACGGATGGGAGCTGCGTGTATTCGTGAACGGTCAGATAGAGCCCTTTGCTCTCAATCCTGGTTGGATCGCTTCCCGGATACCCTGGTGAAACACTTTACGGATCAAGGTTCGGATCACCAGGCGCTCTTGCTATCCGACAGGCCTTATGTCCGTAATAGTCGACCTCTTTTCAGATTTGATGCGCGGTGGGCAGAGAATCCTGAAGTTCGAGCCATGGTGGCTTATGTTTGGAAAGAGGATATTCAAGGAACCCCCATGTTTAGATTGTGGGAGCGTCTCAAGAAGCTCCGTCACTTACTTTATGATTGGAGCCGCGCAGGAACGACCAACTCGTTGAGAAATATTAAGACCCTGCAGGCTGAAATAGATCGACTCAAACAGGCTCATCCCATTAACTGGGTTGAGGTCCGGTCCCTTGAGATGGAATTGAGTAGGCAGTGGGAGGCGGAAGAAGAGTACTGGCAGCAAAAATCCAGGGTTCGTTGGCTTAAGAAAGGGGATAAGAACTCCTCATATTTTCATACAGTGACAAGGACACGTCGGAAAAGGAATTTTGTGAGCGGACTTCGAGATGATGCTGGTGTGTGGGTTACTGATGAAAAAGGCAAAGCGGATATTGCTACTAATTTCTATAGTACCCTTTTCACCTCTGAAAATCTGGTACATGATATGCATAAACGAATCCATAACTTGCCCATCTCCCGAAGTGTCACATCATACATGAATGAGAAGTTAACGGCTGTAGTGTTACCGGAGGAGGTTCGCAGAACTGTGTTTGCTATGGGCTCGAAGCAAGCCCCGGGGTCTGATGGTTTCACTGGGAAATTTTTCAAAGCCTTCTGGGATATTGTAGGTCCATCGGTGATTGATGCGGTCTGCTCTTTCTTTACTTCTGGCCGGCTGCTCCGTAGCTTTAATCATACTTGGCTCACTCTCATTCCTAAAGTGGATAATGTGGAGACAATGAGGCAATTGCGCCCTATAAGTTTATGCCAATTTGTTTATAAAATTATAACCAAGATTTTGGCAGAACGTTTGTCTGTTATCCTCCCTCAGGTGGTCTCGGAAGGGCAGAATGGTTTTATTAAAGAACGTCAGATAGTGGATAATATCTTACTCGGGCATGAGCTCATGCATTACTTAAAAACCAAAACTCGAGGAAAGAAAGGGTTCATGGCTCTAAAGGTTGACATGGAAAAGGCCTATGATAGAGTCGAATGGCCCTTTCTTCTTGCTATTTTGGCTAAAATGGGGTTTAACCCCACCTGGGTAGGATGGATCAAGGAATGCCTCAGTTCTGCATCGTTTTCAGTTATGATGAATGGTACTCCGTCGGGGTTCTTTTCTCCTTCCAGAGGATTGCGCCAAGGGGATCCCCTATCCCCCCTCCTTTTTATGCTGTGCACTGAGGGGTTTGCGTTGCTTCTCCGACATGCGATATCTGAAAAAAGGCTGGCAGGGATTAGAGTGGCTCCTCGGGCGCCCAGGCTGACGCATTTATTTTTTGCTGATGATTCTTATTTATTCCTGCGAGGTAACCTTCAGGAGTGTGAGAATCTTATTGAGGTCCTTAATGAGTATGAGGAGTTGAGTGGTCAGAGGGTGAATCTTGATAAATCGGCAGTTTGCTTCAGTAAGAATATAGTGCAAGAGGATCAAGAGTTCCTGGCGACGATCCTAGGGGTGGGGGTTGTTGGTGTCCATGATAAATATCTGGGTCTCCCAACGCTTATTGCAAGATCTAAGATGGAGACTTTCCGTTTTTTGGAAGCCAAATTGTTGGAGCGGCTCCAGGGATGGAAACGGAGAACGTTGTCGTGGGCAGCCAAAGAAACTCTCATTAAATCTATTGCTCTGGCTTTGCCTTTGCATGTGATGTCATGTTTCAAGCTCCCGCTTTCCTTATGCCGCTTGTTAGACAGACATGTTGCCCGATTCTGGTGGGGTGAGAATGAAGGGCACCCAAAAGTGCGGTGGATGTCATGGCGGGACATGTGTAGAAGTAAACACGATGGGGGTATGGGTTTCCGAAGATTTGAACAGTTTAATCAGGCGCTGTTAGCTAAAATTGGCTGGCGTATTCTCAGTGAGCCCAACTCCTTGCTGGCCCAAGTCTATCGAGGCAAGTATTTCCCGACTGGCCATTTCTTATCTGCTAAGGCTAGATCTCGCCCATCTTGGGGTTGGCAAAGTATCTTGTTTGGCCGTCAGCTTTTGGAGATGGGTTTACGTTGGCAGATTGGGAATGGGCGTTCGGCTTCTATGCTCCATTCTACCTGGGTCCCTGAGTTCCAGTTTGAGCCCATACGTTGTAATCCTCTGATTTTACCAGAAGGTGGTGATCCGGTGGTGGCGGAATTAATTTGCCAAGGAGAGGGACGGTGGTGTGAGCAAAAACTTAGTCAGTGGTTCGATCCAGTGACGAGCCGCATCATTAAAGCTATTCCGCTCCCGCAGGATAATGTGGAGGATAAACTCATTTGGTTTGATACGGCTGATGGGGAGTTCTCGGTTAAATCGGCCTATCATCTGGCTGTGACTTTGGAGAAAAGAAGGGGTCGATGGAAGGATACGGTAGACTGGATGGATAGGTCTAGTTGGATACGGCTGTGGGAGGCTAATATTCCGCCTAAGTTGAAGGTGTTTGCTTGGCAGATCTTCAATCGGATTTTGCCTACCACTGATGCTCTAATTAGTCGTCATATTCCAGTCCTGCCTCGGTGCCCGGTTTGTTGGGAAGGTCCTGAAACTTTGGAGCATCTTTTTTTGGATTGCCTGGTTGCGCGTGCCCTCTGGGGGCGGCGGGGTTGGAGCACTTTGGGGAGGGTCTGCCACGGCACACTTTTCCACTTTTCCTTAAGAAGCTGATGGCTTTAGTTTCTCAGCCTTCGCAGTGGATGGAAGTTATTGCAGTCCTCTGGCGGATTTGGAAATCCCGAAACTGGGTTGTGTTTGAAGGCAAGCAATTTGGTATCCCGACCCTTATGCGTCAGTTTTCGCAACAAGTTGAGGAATGGGAGCGCCTTCCAGTGGAGGAAGGCTCCTCAGTCCTGGTAGGGGGTCAAGGGCCTTGGTTGTTTGGAACCTCCGAGTTTATCTGTAGATGGGATGGGGCCACTAGGAGGGGTTCGCATTCGGCGGGGGGAATGGTTCTTTTGACTCCCTCTGAAGTCGTCCTCGGGGCTAATGGGGTCTCTTTCCCTGTCATGGATAATCCAACGGTTGCGGAGCTGTTGGCGTTGCGTGCGGCTATTTTTTGGTGCTTGGAGCAAGGCTTTGCATCGGTTCGGTTTGAAGGGGATGCTAAAGTAATTATTGACAAAATCAGCCGTAGGGATTCGCGGGATAGCAGGATGGGTGCTGTATTGGAGGAAGTGTTGAATCTTTTTGGCAGCAATCCTGGGTTCAGTGTTCGTTTCGTAGGTCGGCGTCACAATAGGGTAGCCCATGTAGTGGCTAGAAAAGCCCTCTCCTTGTATCCGACTATGAGTCGTGTCTTTAATTTTCAGGCCTGGCTGCTCTCCAGGATGTAACTATTTTTTATATATCAATATAAGATTATCTTTTGTAAAAAAAAAAAATTGCAATAACAACAAATACAAAAGTAAAAAACAAAATTCATTCTCCCATCTATTTCGTTGCTTCTTCTCCTCCAATATAAAATGCATTCCCCTCCTACTCATTTTGGTTCACAAGAAGGTCCCTGTCCTCATCCACAACGGCAGCCCCGTCAGCGAGTCTCTCGTCATAGTTCAGTACATCGACGAGTTCTGGCACGGCGACGGCAAGCCTGTCTTCCTCCCCTCCGATCCATACCAAAAATCCCAAGTCCGATTCTGGGCCCATGATAACTCACATCAAACACTCAGTTCCAGAACCATATGCCAAAGACAAAACCAAAACACACCATATCCTTATATCACAGAGTATCAAAGGATTCAAATTCAGCAACAATCATCAAGTGCACACAGGCCTATTTCGATTCGATATCAAGGATTGGCATTCATTCTGAGAAAAGTACTTAGACGAGTTCAATGTATGCCATGGGGGCATTGTCCCCACGCCTCGGCAGAGTTCTGATAATTCTGGTGTATCCGCCATTTCTCTCCCCATATCTGTCCGGGACTTCTGCGAACAGGGCATGTACAATCTGCTTCTCGTAAATGAAACCCAATGCTTGTCTCTTCTTGTGAAGTGCCCATCCTTGGCTAATGTAATCATCTTGTCAACAATTGGAGAGAGACGGTGATACGCGCCCACAGCCCAACAGCAGTTCTCGCCATTCAGCTCGGATTCCTCGGCCCAACAAGCGCTACCGCGAGTACGTGGAGTAGTCCAGCCCAGTAGCCCAGCTCATCGCCGCAAGCTTGCCATTGTTTGTTAGTTGGTTAGGTGTTGATCGAGTCAATAGGTTTCCGTTGTGAGTCTTTTGAATTCAATAAGCTGTTCCACCTTAGGTGGAGTAGGAGTAGCTTTTGCACGTGGAAGTAGTTCCACTTTTCCTTTCATTCTCTTAGTATATTTAGGTTGTGAGTCAAGAAATAAAAGGCAAGCAATTATTCAGTAAAAGAACCCTCCTGGTTGTTCTAGCCAAGAAAGTAGAACTCTGGCCTACTCCTGCCAAGAAAAGGGAGAATTATCTCGATACAACTTTTCACCGTATCATTTGGTATCAGAGCCCAGCATGGGCACACACGCTCAGCGCATCGAAGCTCTCGAAACCGCTACCCATGAGAATCAAACGGGCATTCAGGCGATCATTGATCAGCTGGCGGCTGTCCAAGTCGCCGTCAACAAAATTACGCAAGATCAGGCAACAAAAAGCGACGAAAGGCGTTCCGAGGATGGAGAGCGATCCGTCAATGGCCGTGGCCTCCGTCCCCACCCCGACGAGTTCGAGGATCGGGATCCACAACCGCTATTCGGAGCTAAATTAGCTCGGCTGGAGTTTCCGACTTTCGCCGGCGACGATCCGACAGTCTGGTTCTCGAGAGTGGAGCAGTTCTTCGAGTTCCAAGCCATTCCCGAGGGCCAGAAGGTGTCTCTGGCATCTTACCACCTCGAGGGCGACGCCAACCAATGGTGGCAATGGCTCCGCCGGACTTATCGCACAGACGGGATCCCGATCACTTGGGATAATTTCTCGTCGGAATTATGGGCAAGATTTGGGCCCTCCGTGGCCACAGGGTTCGACGAATCGCTATCCCACATCAAACAGACGGGGACTCTCCGGGATTATCAGACGGAGTTCGAGCGATTAGGCAACCGAGTTCGGGGATGGACGCAACAGGCTCTAGTTGGCACATTCTTGGGGGGCTTGAAACCCGAGATCGCTGACGGGATCCGCATCTTCAACCCACGTACCTTGAAGGAAGCAATCAGCCTCGCCCGGGTTCGCGACGAGCAGCTCTCACGGGCCTACAGCCCTCCGCGCAGCTCATACCGCTCACCGGCCGATTTCACGACACCACCACGACCTAGGCCCCGGCCGGCCTTCGACGCGGCGTTCGCGGCCAGACCACGGCCAGTGGCCGAGCCAAACCCACTGATCCGCAATCGACCGCCACCGGCGACTGGGGGAAAGCGCCTGCCGTATGATGAGATGCACCGCCGACGCCAAACCGGCCTTTGTTTTAACTGCGATGAAAAGTTTACACCCACCCATCGCTGCGCCAGGCCTCGACTCATGATGCTGCTGGATGAAGAAGACGACGAGGTCCTGGACTCCGCCGAGGTTTCTTTTCACACCATCACAGGCCAGACCGGGGGTAGAACTATGCGGGTCTGTGCTCAAGTGGGCCCAACTAAACTGGTGGCCCTCATTGATAGTGGCTCGACCCACAACTTCATCAGCACTAGGGCCGCCGAAGCACTCCAGCTGCCGGGTTCGCCCATCGCAGCATTTGACATCAAAATTGCAAACGGAGCGCCGTTGACGTGCAGTGGGAAACATGAGGAAGTGATCCTCTATATTCAGGGAAGCCATTTTCCGGTCACCCTTTTTGCCTTACCTCTTACCGGTTTTGATATCGTCCTCGGGATCAAGTGGCTGGAGACTCTCGGCACCGTTCACAGCAACTGGAAGTCACTGACGATGGAGTTCGAATGGGATGGGCAGCATCGCCGGATCACCGGCCTCACCAGCATTACCACTTCCGCGACCGACATCCGCGGCCTCACAAGGGAAGAACCAGGCCTCCGAGCGATCTGTTTTCCCCCATCGGCTGACGATCCCCTTCGACCGGTACCCCGGGATTTACAGGATCTTCTTCGTGAGTTTGGAGATCTTTTTCCGCCGCGACGTGCCGTGGATCACCGCATTGAGTTGAAGGAAGGGACGGAGGCGGTGAACGTACGACCGTACCGCTACGCCCATTACCAGAAGGCGGAAATTGAAGCCCAAGTTCAGCAAATGCTCACCGCGGGTCTCATCCAGCCCAGCACCAGCCCGTTTTCCTCACCTGTTCTCCTGGTCAAAAAGAAAGACGGTTCATGGCGGTTTTGTACCGACTATCGGGCTTTGAATGCTGCTACAGTCAAGGATCGTTTTCCCATCCCCACCGTTGATGACATGCTGGACGAACTCCATGGCGCGGCCTATTTCACCAAACTGGACCTGCGCGCCGGCTATCACCAGGTTCGCATGCTCCCTACCGATGTGCCCATAACTGCTTTTCGAACGCACAACGGGCATTACGAATATTTGGTCATGCCCTTCGGCCTTTGCAACGCTCCGTCTACATTCCAGGCCATCATGAATGATATTTTCCGACCGGTCCTGCGCAAGTTTGTCTTGGTTTTCTTCGATGATATTCTCATCTACAGCCCGGATCGGCAGAGTCACTTAGAGCACGTCAGGATAGCTCTTGAAATTCTCCGGCAACATCAATTCTTCGTCAAGTTTAGCAAGTGTGCGTTTGGTCTTCAAGAGATCGAGTATTTGGGCCATATCATTACGGCGGAAGGCGTCAAGGTGGATCCTCGAAAGATCCAAGCCATGAACGACTGGCCCACGCCCACGTCCCCAACCGACGATGCTCATGACGGCGGTGGCTGCCGGTACTTGTGACGGTAGATGGAGCATGGCTTCCTTAAGCGCTCCTCTCCAATTGTCTGTATGCGATTCCAATCCTCTCGTACCTCCCATGCCATCGCCGTCTCTCGCCGTCTGATACGGTGAAAAGTTGTATCGAGATAATTCTCCCTTTTCTTGGCAGGAGTAGGCCAGAGTTCTACTTTCTTGGCTAGAACAACCAGGAGGGTTCTTTTACTGAATAATTGCTTGCCTTTTATTTCTTGACTCACAACCTAAATATACTAAGAGAATGAAAGGAAAAGTGGAACTACTTCCACGTACAGAAGCTACTCCTACTCCACCTAAGGTGGAACAGCTTATTGAATTCAAAAGACTCACAACGGAAACCTATTGACTCGATCAACACCTAACCAACTAACAAACAATGGCAAGCTTGCGGCGACGAGCTGGGCTACTGGGCTGGACTACTCCACGTACTCGCGGTAGCGCTTGTTGGGCCGAGGAATCCGAGCTGAATGGCGAGAACTGCTGCTGGGCTGTGGGCGCGTATCATTACCACCCCCTGAAGCAACGACATTGTCCTCAAGGCCGAGCTGAATGAAGCAATCATGGAACTCGGAAGCGAGCTCCCAGGTTGCGTCATCAGCAGGCAAGGCATGCCATTTGACCAGCAGCTCTTCGACGAAGCGGGAACCGCGCTTGGTCCAGCGGGTGTCAAGAATGGCCTCCGGGTGCAGAAGAAGGGATCCGTCATCGCCGATTGGAGGAGCGGCAGGCGGTGCAGCTGGGGGAGGGCTGAGGCAGCGGCGGAGGAGTGAGACATGGAAAACCAGATGCACCCTACTGCCTGGAGGAAGGCCGAGACGATAGGCAACTGACCCAACTCGTTCGGTGATCATGTAAGGCCCGTAGTAACGACAGGAGAGCTTTTGGGATGCGCGACGGAAGACCGTGTGTTGGCGGTATGGGTGGAGCTTCAAGTAAACCCACTCGCCTACCGCAAACAGGACCTCACGGCGGTGAGCATCAGCATTTTGCTTCATGCGATTCTGGGCAGCAGCGAGGTTCGTCTTCAACTCATCGAGGACTTCATTCCGATCGAGGAGGGCACGATCCACTTCATGCACCATAGGCGCGCCTGGACGGTAGGAGGGAATAGCAGGAGGAAGACGCCCATACAAGGCCTGAAAGGGGGTCATACCAGCAGAACTATGGAAAGAAGTATTGTACCAGAACTCGGCCCAGGGGAGCGACGTGAGCCACCTCTTCGGCTGCTGATGGGTGAAACAGCGGAGATATTGTTCGACGCAACGATTCACGACCTCCGTTTGGCCGTCAGTCTGGGGATGGTAGGAGGAAGACATGCTGAGAGTGGTGCCGGATTGACGATGAAGCTCCTACCAAAAATGACTCATAAACACCGCATCGCGATCACTCACGATGGAGCGCGGCAAGCCATGGAGACAAACGATGCCGGCGATGAAGTTGTCGGCCACCGAACGCGCCGTGTAGGGGTGCGAGAGGGCTAAGAAGTGCACATATTTGGTTAGGCGGTCCACGACCACCAAAATCACCGTCTTCCCGCCCGAACTAGGCAACCCATCAACGAAATCGAGAGAGATGTCCTCCCAAACCTCCTGAGGAATCGGCAGCGGCTGCATGAGGCCGGCGGGGGATAAGTGCGAGGCCTTTGCGCGTTGACAGATGTCGCACGCGTTGACGAAGGAGCGGACGTCTCGGAGCATGCCGGGCCAGAAAAACTGGGAAGCCAGCCGCCGATAAGTGGCGGTGACGCCGGAGTGGCCGCCAGCAGGGGTCGAGTGAAATTCCTCGAGCAATTCGCGGACGTGCGGCGAGCCGGGAGGAATGATGACTCGACGGCGGTAGCAGGCCATCTCGTTGCGAAGCGAATAATGGCCGGGGATGGGGGATTTCGCTCGTGCCAAAACCCTCTGCATATAAGGATGCGATAGTGACGTCGATTTGATGGACTCCCAGAGAGACGTGTGAGGGATGGAGAGTGCGAGCAGTTCTGGGGCAGGAGGGCGGCGGCCTGGCTATCCTTGCCGGGCTTGTAAACGATTTCGTAGTCATAGCCCAATAGCTTGGAGACCCATTGTTGCTGTTCGGGCGTGATAATTCGCTGGTTGAGCAGGTGCTTCAGGCTTTTCTGGTCCGTGCAAAT